GTGCTGTTTTTATTTTTTCTAATCCAAAGAAGAGCTCAAGTTAAACCATGCAAAATAAATTCATAAAGCTTATTTTAAATTGAAGGAAAGTCTCCTGGGAAACAGATGATAATTTTAAAAATGACATGAATAAATCAAAGAGGGGAGAGGAGCAGGGACGGAGGGATGAAGGCTGTGCAGATGGATGCCGGGAGGACAGCAGTGGGATTTTGTATTTTCCTGTATAATGATCTGTTCTGTAAGAGCAGCGACTGCCGAGGGGAGCGACTGTGACTCAGCAGACCTATCGCATGCTCAGAACACACACGAGTGCAGATTTGATATGAATCCAGAAATGCAACACACCGATATCACACACACACACACGGACAAACACACACACAGGAAGTTGGAATGATCTCACGGTTAATGAGGGTGACCAGGATAACACTCTCTCCCTCGCTGTTTCTATCATTCTCTCTCTGTGTCTCTCTCCCTTTTCCCAAGTCCCTGGCGCAAACAAAGCCCGTGTTCCCCTGGGGTTGACTAGGGCAGACACACACACACACACACACACAGACACACACACAGTCTTTGAAGCAAACTCAGACACAGCTACACACACGCTCCTCTCTCGCACCCACAAAAGCGTTATAATTCAGACGAATACGTGGTTACACAATCACACACAAACACACACATATTGAGACACAAAGTCAGGCAAGGTTACAGTCCCGTATTGACACACACGCGCAAACACATGAAATGTGAAAGGATGCTGGAGCTGATGCAGGTAATGAGCCTGTTTTAAATCGCTCTGCCTTTTGCTAGAAATGAAGTGAAACAGAAGCTTCTGGAAAGAAAGGAAATCCCTTTAATCCTGGTGGGATTAGTTTAAGAATGATTAAGATTAGCTTCACTTTGTTTCGCTGCTATCAAAGTCTGCTAAATAAATAAAGAAGTCTCAGCACTCAGCCTCAGCTGAGCGGGTATTTGGGATAATATTAGGAAGTCCCCATCTAAATGAACGTGGATAAAGACTTAGTATTGATGTCTATGGTCACCGGGGCATAAAAACTGCACGTGTAGAATCAATAAGTTGTTTTGATCTGTATTTTTTCCACCTGATAGAGCACATCCATGTACCGAGGCAGCAGCCGGGATTCAACTCCGCCCCTGGTCATTCGCTGTGTGTCATTTCCCTTCTTTGCCATCTGTTCTGCACTAACACTGTCATATAAATGCAACCGCTATCACATCAAGTCAGATACAGTACGGCATGAAACAAGGAGATGGAATCAAAGCGGTTTGCAAAGTCGATTGCAGATGCAAAAACAAGGGCATGAAAACAGACGTTAAAATTAAACTCAATGAATTATAGCAGCTGAATTATTCCCTCTAAAAGAACAAACGGTGGAGCGTTAATTCAGGAAGCTCAACAGAACATCAGCTAAAGTTTAAACTCAGTTTAAGCTATTTTAGCCACATCTGCAAGCCACTTTGCAACCCTGACTTTGGTGTCTGCTAAGAAGCTAAGGCTATGTCCACACGTACCCGGGTATTTTTGAAAACGCAGATTTTTCTATGCGTTTGCACCTTTCGTCCACACGTAAACGGCGTTTTTGGTCACTGAAAACAGAGATTTTTAAAAACTCCGGCCAGGGTGGAGATTTTTGAAAACTCAGTTTGTGCATTTACGTGTGGACGAGAAAAACGGAGAAAACGCAGAAAATGCAGCGTCAAAGGTGTGCGCCTTTTTTGACGTCACACTGTGCTGTTATTGTTTTGGTGAAATGAATTTCTACAATACTGTTACTGTTACTTGTTCTCTCTGTAGTGTTTAAATGCTTACATATACACACACAGTTACTGTCCCTCCACACATACGACTCGGTTCTGCTTCTATGCCCCAGCTTTGTTTACTTTTTCCCACCGAGGCTTCTAGACTTCTGATTGGCCAACATTTCTACACGGTTAGGAATATAGCGCCACCTGCTGCTTTGGCATGTTCCTAGCAGCGTTTTCCTTCATTTCTGCCTTTACGTGTGGACGGGATTATTTTTTAAAACGAAAATGGAAAATCTCCGTTTTCAAAAATACCCGTGTACGTGTGGATGTAGCCTAAGAAACCTGCTGCTGCTCTCCACACCGTAACCATGTGGAGGCCCCAGGATGGAGGCATGCTGGTAGCTAAACTGATGGGAGCTGGACTTCTTAATGAAGGTAATGAAGATGTTTCAATTCTCATCTGAGAAGCTTAAACCCTTGTAGAAGCTGATGAGGACTCCCACGTGTTTTTGCTATTGTAGGGTTAAATATACTGAATTCCTTGGTTTATAACGACTCACATCATATTTAGTGTGTGTGCCCTGCATTCAAATTAGCGTGGCTCACCTTCCATGACGTCGGTGAGGTAGCTGGCAGCACTCATTGCCCTGCCCCTGCGCTCCGAGTCCTGCATGGACGAAGGCCGAGGAAGTAGCATCGTGCTGAGCTCTGTGGTGGACGTGGGAACCTAAAAAGATGGAAGTCATCCTGATTACTTTACATCTTTAGATGCAACCAGAGAATAAGAGATGGCATTACCCCACACAGAGTCCCATCGTAACAATCATGGAGTTGGTCTGGGATTGAGAAGCAATCTCAAAGATCAGCTCCTCCAAGATATGTTTTAAAGACATCCTCAGTTGACTGAGCCTGCTGTCACACTCATCACTCATTCGTGAGTATGAGCTGCCTTGGACTCTTCTGTTACCATTGTGATAACATCACATAAACACACATTTGTGTCGGGTCAAATGGGTCAAACGTAGTGCTGTGATTTCTTTGTGTGTGTGTGTGTGTGAGTGCATTCAGTCTATCACCACGGCAACAGAGAAGCAGGTGATGACTGGTGTTCAACGAATCAGAGAAATCAGCGCGCCGCTGCTGTTCATCTCGTTCATCCTCACTTTCATGTATCAGATGAGCTTCACGAGGGTTGAACTTCTAAAACACCCACTCGACTCTCCTCTTAAAGCCTGACTTCAGCTGCTGCCTCTCAAATTAAAAGTTTAAATTATACTAAGTAATCAACTGGCGCTCAACATTAATTTGCTGCAACCCTTGTTGATTATCCCGAGCTCTTGGTAGTGATCATCGTGGCTCATGGAAGCCATTCCTGACTGGAAAGAGAGCAGGCGGATTATAAAGGATGTTCCATCAGGTGTGGGAACATCTCAGGAGGAACGCGTTGGTGCTACATCGAGTAAAACTCAGATAAATGTCAAGAAATATGAAACTAAAATGACACGTGGCCACATGTCAGCCTGTGAGGCTTTGATAGTGTTTTTCAGCTCCACAGAACAGAAACTAAAACATGAGGAGCTGTCAGTGCTGCATCCATACACATGTGTAATATATGCATCCTCCTGTTATTACCCTTCACAATAAAAGCCCTGTAATTTACAGAGCAAGAGTGCTCTCCTCCTGGACAGTACAGGAAATCTTGCTGATAAGGTTGTAAGAACTGCACTAGATTAGACGAGCTGCGTGAATTGAACTCACAAAGTTTGTGTTTGAAGTGTCTTTAAAGTGCCCATAACAGCCTTCAAGACCATATAACAGGAAATAACAAGCAAGTTGTTGTTGCAGAGCCATCCAGGACTGATTTGTGTCAGATCTAATGAGGACTTAAAGTTTTCCTCAAAGAATAAACTCATCCGAGCAGGTTTTTAAGACAAAGTCCTTCAGTACTTTTCTGTCTTTAAATTTGCAGCACATTTGTTGAGTAAGCTGTACTTCTAACAGTCCTACCAAAATCCAAGCGTTGGATTGGCCATCAGAGCCTCCTTACTGCCTACTCACTGAGATCCTCGCCCGACAGTTCAGAAAGTCCTCTCTACACTAATCATGTGTCCTTTTTAAACTCTCATTCCGGTCATTCATGCAAGCAGATGTCACAGTTGTGTTCTCGTTAGTCATCTTTTGACCCAATCGTTTTAGCGAGCAAAGCTAGTGGAAGGTAATTTCAGATCCAACCTTTCAGACAGCTGAAGGTTCTCCTGGATGTCAGAACTTTGCTCTCGATGGAGAGGACACTCCACAGCACGTGATGTTTAATAGAAACTTAATGGATTATTTTTCACCCAATATTGGTTCTGCTGGTACAGTTATTTATGTATTTCACATTGTGAGATGTCTTATTCAAGAAATCAAATGATAATTTCATTTAAAATGGTAAATTTTAAATTAAATTTACCATTTTACCAACAGCTTCTATAATTCTATAATTTAATTATAGAAGCTTTACATGAATACAAATGGAAAATGATATAAGAGCAGGTCTGATTGCTCGAGTTACACCTGCTTAAAAACTACAGAACAGATCGTTGGGAGTTCG